GGTTACGGAACCTTTCGTGCGCGAGTCCGACTCGCACTTGCTTGTTTCTACAACGGCGGTGCCTGCCAAACGGCTGAATGACAGCCTGTACAGGGGAAGTACCGTGTGAGCGTATCTCAGAAGCTTTTATGGTTTCGTGAGGGTATGAGGTAAGCGAAAGCTCACTGCGATCTGGCTTTGCAATTTGGGCGGCAGTAATCACCCACAACTTGTGAAGCTAACACCTTTGGCTCCTTATCTTATAGGACAAGATACGATAAATTAAAAACATCCCAATGCGCAATCGACCTGCTTTTCAGGCAATCAGTGAATTACACACCGCGATACCTACTGCTGTGCATTTGAGTGCGTTACAAACACAAACCGTGACGAACCCGTTGCGTTGAAATTGTTAACCGTGACCGATTTCTGAACCAACACGTTATTTGTCACGAATCAATTTCTACGGCAATTCCCATGGGTTGGATGTTTTTCGCTAATGACCGACACGATGGCAATTTATCACTTGCCATGATTTCCATACGGTTTATATTATTCGGAGCCTATGAACAATATCATTGTTGTTACATTTCGATTGGCTATTATACGGCTTTTCTGTCGACTTCATTAAAAGAAAATAAGACTTAGAACAGAAACTAAACTTGTATGTATATAAGAAAATGTAATATGTAAATTTATCAATTGCCACGACTTGTATACGTCTTATTATATTATTCGAAGCATGTCTACTATTGAACCATGTTATTATTGTTACATTTTGTTACATTTGGATTATTATACGGTTTTTCTGTCGACTTAATTGAAGGAAAACAAGATTTAGAACAGAAACGAAACTTGTATTTATATTAGTATTATTAACTTAAAAAAAGCATGGCCCTCTTACTGTTGAACGTGGCCATCCTGTGTTGTAATATAAATAATATATATAAGGACATTTTGCAAACAAACTTGACGTGGACAAACAGCCAGATCCGGAATAATTATCTGTGGGTTACACAAATAGTTGTTCCGTGTATTCGAACCCACGACCCCCGGTGCCGAAACAAATACGTCAGCATTGTATTATTAAATACGTTAGTGTGTGTTGTTAAATGAAACATGAGTCATGATTCCATGTACCACGGACTCATGACTTATGTTGCATTTAATATAATTATAAAAAACTAAATTAAATTCTTAGTGCTCTAAGGTAGAACAAGATAGCACATTCCTAGGTAAATGAACTTAGGAGCAGTGTCCTATGCATAGGATGAGTAATGGCCTGTGACATTCTTCAAATCATCGTATGTGAATCAACAAGGCATTATTTCTTTCGTCATTTATCATGTTATTGGATAAACAGTATAGTGCGGAAAGATATGAATCATTTCCGTATACTACTAAAAATAGGTAACACGAATTAGGCCCTAAACTCAAGGATTGCAACTGAAAAGCGGGGTGACCTTGAGTCGCCGTTAAATTTCGGTCCTTAATTTCAGAATAAAAAGTGGATTAGTCCTATACCTGTATTTATAGATAATATTCTAAAATTTTAATTACACCACGTATCTCCAAGGGGGAAGAGGGGGGTTAAATGCTAAAAACCCCACATGATAAATGGACGGCCCCTAACTAAGAGAGCATCGCTGTGCATGAATCTGTACATAAGACGTGTGGCGCGTTGCCATTGAGAATGCAGACCTTCGGTTAGCTCATCGACCTTGTTTTCACGTCGTTCTTCCGTGAGGGCATGGTCGAGTTGGTCTACTCGGCAGCGAGGACTGTATGCAAGCCGTTTCTTCTCCACTACAGCTTAATAACCTATTTATATCGATTGTGAACTGAAACTACAATAAACAAGTAGAATATAATTTAAAAAACTCAAAAACCCAACTGCGTTTCTGTGTGTTTTTTTATTTTGATATACCCAGTGACCCCAGTGTCACTCTCACAGTAAATACGAATCTAAACAACATCTCTCAAGCTAAAATCCATCATACCGTTCAGGCTGCAGAGCGTGTCAAACAATTATACATACATAAATACATACACACACATACATACGTACATACAAACATACTCTCGAAAATCATAAGCCTCCTTCTGGCGTAGTCGGGTAACAATTAGTTTAATTGGTGTCGTCTGTACTTTTACTATATTTCTGGCTGGGTTGTAAGTGATTAAAATGACAGAGGTAGTCGTATATACGTTATATCTCCTTTCTCAATGCCTATATCCCAACTAGGCGGTGTCGGAATAATATTGTTACGAGCTGGGGGTTCGGGATTGGATTGAAAACCGGTCGTTTAAATGTTTACTTTATTGTCGCCAACAAAGAAGTGCACAATAAGCCTGTCAATAGCGTTCTAGTCCCTAAAACTACCACCGGTGCGACGACTCTCCCGTTCCGTGACACGACTGCCGGTGCGCTCCCTCTCGCACCAATCTCCACGTACGCGTCCACTGGTGCAACGCTCCACACGTTACCGCACCAACCCAACGCGTACGCCTTTATACTACTAATCACTTCGCGTCACTATTCACTACTATACTGTCCACTCACTATTATTTCACTTTCCACTTTATTCTTCCTATTTCTTCTTCCTCTTCCTTCTTCCTTGAGTTCCTCCACTGAACTGCCGTCTAAGGCGCTCTGAGCCCCTTTTATACTCGAAATTTCGTTCGTTTTTCAAATAAGTTCTGGAATTCGAAACTTCTCTCAAATTTATAAATTATATTTTTAATAATTTAAAAGAACATTTTATACGTCATTCCAAACTGTCATCGACGGATCGTTGACATTTAAGATGTCAACCCCGTAATCGTAACAATATGAATCGTTGCAAGTGGGATGCGCCAAGTATATTAACGACCGGCCATCTGCGTGACGTCAACACTCTTTATACAAACACTCAATTCCAGAACAATTATATGTGGGTCGTACAAATACTAGTTCCGTATGGGAATTGAACAAATGATGAACGAACTATGTTTGTAATTTATTTGTAATCATAATTTTTTAAGTCCTGGCGATAACTGAGAACTTGCTTCTGTTTTTATATTGTTTACTTCAGAGCTCGCTTTAAATGCAGTATACTCGAGCGACTCTATTTTAAATACCGGTGCTGTATCCGATGAAATTGTTGACTGCATGTTTTTTGCTTCACTACATAGTAAAAAATTAAGTCGTCCCACTGCTTGTCTATCCCTATGTATGCTTAGACCTTTAAAACTACGCAACTGATCTTGATGCGGATGTTTACTAGATAGAGTGATTCAACAGAAAGGTTTATATATATAATACATTGCACCCGTGCGAAGCCAGGGCGGGTCGCTAGTATATTATATAAGGGTAAGCATCGTGATAAAATCAGCCTATGTTAGTATTAGAAATACAATGATATTTCAGACTTGTGAACTTCACACTGTGAAGTTTTTATTCGCAGTGGCCTGGGGCCATGGGCCCTCTGAACAGAAGAAGTAGGTTTAAATGTAGGACCACAGAACGGCATCGGCTGTTTCATGAATGGGTAGGTCCGTCCGGGTAAGTACCACGACCTCACAGAAGACCAGCGTGAAGGGGATATGTTATACTTCAGCATTTCGTCTGGTGTGTGAGGTAGCCGGGGCCATTTTATTAAAAGGTGGCAACGCATCTGGACCTCTACTGGTGTTGCCAATGTCCATAGTGGCGGTTATCACTTAGCATCAGGTGAACCACCAGCTTCCCTAATCACCTTCACACATAAAAAAGAGATATTTGCAGAGCTTTGAGCACATGCTATAGCCTTTTACTGATAACGTTTCTTAATAAACAATAATAAGAATTAAAAGCTAATATAGCTAATGTATATACATTTACTAGTTCGGCATTAGCTCAATTTAAGGTTCAATATTTTTAATTAGTTAATCCAGATTAAGTGGAGGTGTATAAAGCTTGATGCCAAACTGCCGTATCGATTCAAATAATCTACTTAACCATTAGTTGACATCTTAAGTTTTATTTGTATTAGACTTATTTAACACAAGAAAATGAATACTGCCACATAAACAGGATTAGATGACCTTTAAAGCATTAATAATTGTCTCAAATACGATGACTTCTATTTTAATAATAGTTGTCATCCTTGTGGTTAATTACATAAAAGTATGCTTAGGATTTTATGGAGTTTGATTTGTTTTCAAATTCCCTACGTTTCCTTCACTTCACGTTGTTTGTGGTTCTTTTGTTCTTATAGACCCTAATTTTAACCGGGATATCAATGTTTCAATTTTTATATAATTCTGATTTATTTACCATATAAATTATGTCCCTATATAAATTCAGGCTGTTAACAAATGGGTTTGGATTTCGTTCTCAACTAAGTAATGAAAACAAAACTGATGTTTTTGTTACTTAAAAAAATGGCTAATTTATGAGGTCTTTAGGATTAAATTAAATCACATATTTTGGTAGGGAACATTACTTTATAGGTTCCTTATTGAGTCCCATGGAATTAATTTTATACAAGATCTGACTTAGATTAATAAATATGTTTATGAGACCGCCGAAAACCTGTTTGACCTCTGGAGATAAACATGTAAGTTATTTATTCATATCTGCATATAAATATGCAAGGGATTTTCATAAATGTAAATTCTTTTTTAAGAAGACAAGAGTTCAGTATCATTTAAATAAATGTATAGGTATCAATTATAAAAATAAAAACAAAATTAGTGGACGACATTTTAATTAGTTCAATTAGTGACGCCATCAATTTCCATCAGCACAATCACAGCTTTAATTACAAAACGTCACGACTATTAATGAATATTTAACGAAAGTATATAGCGGGGACGAAGTCCAGGTCAGAATCGAGGGAGCTACATTCGATATTCGCGACTGGCTCCGTGAAATTGACTCGCCAGTTTTGCTGGCAACGTTTACGCAAGGCAAACACACCTGTGACGAGAGAATAAATAACACTGTCCAAAACACAAAGAGCAGTCACAGAGCAAACGCGTTCAATCACACGTCGCTAAAATATGGTGGGCTTGGAGTATATCCCGCCGAATATCACCGTCGTGGTGGTCTTCTCCATCACGAAGTAAACGAAGGGCCGGTTCGCTTGGAAGTTGGGCGACGCTATCCTGTCCGCCAGGAAGGCAGATGTGCTGGCGGACGCCACCGTCCCCGACTCCGTCACTTCGATGTCGGCCTTGTGTATGATCGCCGAGACGAATATCTCCTCTTTGGTGGCCCTGCCGAAGCTCGCGAGGTGGGGCTGGAATATGTCCTTCACTTCCATGTGGCTCAGCGGCTTGTTGAGCACCACGTTGGTGCTGATTCGAAAGCGCGGCAGCCTGACGTCGATCTCCTCCAAGCCGTACTCGTCCACGTCGCTCTGGAGCTGCGCGAATATTTCCTTTATGCTGACCACTTCGAAGTTCTTGTACATCTCGGTGACCCTCACTTTGGGGTACGGCAGTAGCAGGAGCATGGAGTACTTCCCGTCGGTCCCCGTACGGAAGCTCCAACGCTAGCGCTTTCAGATCTCTTATGTTCGAGAAGGGCACTGCCGCTTTCTGGTACATCATCTTCACCTTCCCTATCTCCTTGTGGTTCTCGTCGTAGAACGGTTCCAAAGTGGTCTCCGACGTGTTGAACGGCAACGCCCAGAGGCCTTTGAACGATATCGCGTTCGTCAGTATCATCCTGGACTCGGTGAAGTCGTCGGATCTCAGCACGTTTGAGACGGTCGCTCCGGACTTCTGTATGAGACTGTTGGCCGCGTCCGCCGCTTTGCTCGAGTCCTTAAAGTCTAGAGTCTGGATCATCGCGCCGAAATCATCCTGTATCGTCTGTCTGAACTCGTCGTATATCGTGAAACCGGTGTCGAGGAACACGAAGTTCTTGCTGGTGAGACTTACCGCCGAAGTGTTGGGGTTCAGCACCGCTTTGGTGAGATTTGTGTAGCCCTTGATTAGCGTGTTCCTGTTTTTGGGCAGCAAGAACGCCTTGGTCAACTGCTCGTAGCTTTGCCCCGTCGCGCCGAGGGCGACGCCAGTCATCAGCGTCCAGACGCCGAACGGCGATATCACCACGTGCCCGTCCGTCTCCAACGCCGTGTAGTGCAGCAGCTCTATGCTGAAGTTCCTAGCACGCCCGCTGAACTCCGCCTTGCCATGGCACACCGTGACGTAAAGTAGGAACGCAAGTACGCGACGCATAATGCCGTCCGTCGTGCCGTGTGACTCGGCCCGAACTGACATTAAAAATCTGTCCGAGACGCAGCGATGTACGCCTTCCTCGTAGATGCCACGCGTTCGGTCTCCGCGCGATTTTATACCATTTGCAACACTGACAGTGTCGCTAATTGAATACAGTGCCGAGCGGGGTTTTATCTGCTTTTTTTGTAACATTGAAGACAGCAAAACCAGTTTTGTTGGACACGCGCTAAGTCTATTGTGGAATTGGCGAAACCTATCAAAATATTGCGGTGCTTATCTCCGCTTTAGGCGTGTACCGGCTTAACGTGTTTTGATTTAAGTTAAATCGATGCTGTAGGAGAGCTATGTAGAAGGCCAAGGAGGCTTTGTCTATCGCGGGCAAGGGAACGGCATAAACATTTGCGATGGTATCTATTCCGTTTTTGTTTACACTGTTAACAATATAATCCTTTATAAGCAATACACCGCAGGCTTCTAAGAGCGGATCATCAAATAATTATATATATCCTTCAATGGAACAGATGGAAAACATTGGAACGTCATAATTCACTTAGTTATTCCTTTTATATGTGATTGGATCTTTTTTCGGGAGGAAAGATTAACGCAGTGGGAATTATTGTCAATCGCATACTTTAGTTCTACTACTATTAACTTTTACTACTAGTACCGTTAGAATTATCAATAGGTATTGATAGTTCTAAAGGTACTAGAACGACGATTGATTACAAACTAAATTAACCTCATGTGGATATAAGTATTCATTACTGCATGGTACCGTACCTTGAAACCTCTTTTGTTTCCAAAAAACCAGAAAATTAATAAGTCCGCACGTATTTCGTAGCCTTTATGTAGATATTCCATTCGATGTGTCATACAGCCTTTACATCATTATTATTGCATCAGTAAGTTACTTTACAAACCCAATGATCAGTGAATAGAGGATAACTACTTGTAAGGGTTTTACCAGCATCGTCGTTAAACCTAATTCGTGATCGCCCTCACGATGTATCTTTGCCACGGGGCGAAGCTTGTATTCAAGATATATGGGTTCCTTAGGTTTTGAAAAAGTCGACTATTAGTAGGTAATATTATGTCAGTAAATTCTCACCATTTTTTTATTACCATGACAACTAAGAATAACTCTTTGACATTTAACTATAATTCCAAGTAATTTAATTAAACCGTTATGAATTGAATTTATGCCTTTTTCACAAACATCAGAACTGGCAGGGGGGATAATTTTATTTGTTATTTTTTCTTTTGTTACGCTATTGTTTAAATCGTTATCAATTGCATTTAATGTCTATGCTAAAGAAGTATAATGTAATTGTTTACCTTACCTCCAATGCGTTAATCGTAGGTGCCGTCACCTACAGATCCCTGCCGCTAGGTACGTTCCGCCGCAAATGGCTTAGACCGCGACGCGTCCTCGATTTCCCTGACGATGAGACGACTACGAAAACGCATTAAAACATACCACGATCGCCGGCGAGTACGGCAAGTGTATACTAGGTCCCGCCACATATCTGGCAGGTTTTCCCCTGTTAATGATAGAAGCGTTGCTGGAGTTTCTTCCGCCACTTCTCCCAGCGCCGACGCTTTGCGAAGTGGTAGTAGTGATAGCTTTATAAATTATTTCAGGCAGACTACAGCTACTGGTAGAGACGAGGTCCGGCCCCCCAGCACCATCTGTGAAAATAATAACAGCGTGACGGCCCGAGCTGAGGCTCCCTCGGGAGCCCTCGAGGTTAGTAACCGATAAAAACATTACCTCTCTTATGTAACTAGTGTCAATAACTTGTTATGTCATTAGTCATACTTAACGGTTATTAGCACCAGTTCCAAGATATCTGGAATATTTTCTTTGTTTTGCTCTGACCTCAGGCAAAGACCTCTGAGATACCACCCGGCTGTAATGAGGATTGGCTGACATATATTCGGATAGTTTCTCTTAAATAAATATTCTTTATTTTTTTTTATTAAACAGCATTTTTCAGATATACTAGATGAGGTTTTTATTCACGATGCTTCACTTGCTGTACTTTCATGTGATTACAGGGGTATCAAGAATCAGAATGTCCCAAACTGTCAAGAGAAGTTCAAAAGGTTTTGTGGCGTGGAGAAAAATTATGCGTAGGATTTTGGGATCGCCCCAAATATAGAGTTGGAGAGCTAGATATGACCTGAACCAGTTTCTTCAGTTTCCATCAGGGGAGCGTCCTGCCCGTTTGCCCCCTTTTTTCCAATAACAGACACCAGATCTTCCAGGAACTGGTCTACTGGAACTGACTAACGTCAAGTGGAATCCAAAGCGCAGGCGTCGCTAAATGGATTACCTCTGGAGGATGGAAGACGATTGTAATTAGAACCCTTTCATATTGTTCATATTTAAATTTTTATTAAATAATAAGTGACAAATTGGTAAAAGTTAGTACATACCCGTTATTGGTGTGCTTATAGCGACAATTTTTGGTGACACTTTTGGTGCTTCTTTTATAATTAAATAAACAGAAATTATTATAATTAATTAATAATTAAAACTTAAAACTCACCAACCATTCAAAGCGCAAAGAAGCTTATTTTTCTCTTTCTTTTAAATAAGACGTAAGATTTATTTATTTTCTAAGGATAATTTATATTTATCTGTGGCAGGGCCACGCAACAGTGTTCACTGTTGCACGAATGGGCAGAACCGTGCGGGTAAGTACCACGACCTCATAGAAGACCGGCGTAAAGTAGAAGTGTTACGCTTCCGCGTTTCGTCTGGCGAGTGAGGTAGCCGGGGCCCTTATTGAAACGTGGCAACGCATTTGCAACCCTACGGGCGTTGCAAATTTCCATGGGCAGCGGCTATCACTTAACACGAGGTGTACCGCCAGCTCGTTTGCCACTTTCTCATATAAAAAAACACTAAAACTACATAACTGTAACCTATTACATAGTCTACATATATTTCATCGGTGGCAAAAGGTGAAATATTGAAAGGTATGGTTGCAATTGAAGATATGATAATACAACTGCGTTATTTAAGTATTAAATGTAAATTTACCTTTTTCAGTGAGCATGTGAACATACCTTTCTGGTAACGTACCAGAATAAGGTTAGCTAGATAATTTGTACATTTCACTGTAAGTATCTTGGTTGATTTTAGTATTTAATTCTTGTTATAAGATTGTTCTAATTGAAAAAACATAACATTACACATAACACATAACATTACATAGAACTTAACCTTTTCCTTTTTGCAATCTGCAACGAAATATGAGACAGTTTTTTTTTTATTTAATTTATGTCGTGCATTATTTCCATAAAATTGTCACTGAATCAGACGAGTGGGTTACTCATCTCAGGTCGATGTTAATTTTTTATATTGATACTTACAGGATAGTTAAGGCGTAACAGGAAAATTTGGTGTTAATTTAGAGTATAACAGAAACAGTTTCCTGTTTATAGTCGTGTTAAACGACGCGCATAATGATTGCTGAATGAGATGCGTAGTAAGTTCAAAATAATGTAAAGTAAGGGCAATATTTTTTTAGATTGACCTTACTTTAGGATAACACTATTCTGTGTTGCAAGGACGCTTTACTTACATAAATTTCACGTGATCCCACACCCAGACAAACACCCAGATCCGAAAGATTTATCCGTGCGTCACACAAATAGTTGCCCCGTGTGGGAATCGAACCCACGACCCTCGACGCCGAAGCCAATAGCTCAACTGCGCCACGAACTCATCAAATCTTTCATATTCTTATAATGATTGTAAGTATAAACAAAACACCTTTTAATAATTTATTTCAATATACAAAGTTACTTAAAATTTTAAATTTTAGGCTTATGATTGTTTGAATTTAAAACGTAATAAAGTCGATTCTTTGATGATGAAAAAAAGTATAACTACTCATCCAATAATCGGCCAGTAGCGAAGAATGAATGGATAAAGAATAAATGAATGAATTAAATAAGTTTTATTAACCGACTTCAAAAGGAGGAGGTTTCTCAATACGACCTTATATAATTTTATGTGTGTTCGCGGATAACTTCGTCATTTTTGAACCGATTTTGATGAATATTTTTTTATTGGAAAGAAGATATCCCAAGGGTCAGAGAAATCGAGGGGAAACTTGGAAAATCGTAGTGGCGACTAGTGCGCTTGTTAGTTTCGTTAAGTATTTAAAAGCACTACTATTTAATGAAAACTCAATACTTAATGTCTTTCCGCCATCATGAAAACCCCAGTCTGGGATTGATCGGATAATGGAGCCGAAAGACAGTCGAGGGAAGTTCGCAACGATTTACAGCAATTACCTGATGTTTATACTTAATTCATTTCTATTGATGACACTTTGCACCCATATGGGTTACAAGTTCCATTACATGTCTGATTATGGAAATAGACAGTCGAAGGAATTCCTCAACGATGTACACCTTTTGTTGGGCTTACTTCATACGGTTCGATATGCCACAATGTTCAGTTCGTATGAAAAGAATAACTGATTGAATAAAATTTTTATTGTATTTATACATGTATAAAAAAATTATTGTAATATATATATATATATATAAAAATGTGTAATCATAGTAATAAATATGTAATTGTAACATATATAAAATAATTGAAAAAAAGACGCTTTTTTTTGTTAAGAATTACTTTAATGTAAACTACAGCTGATATTGAATAATCAAGAATAAATACCTAATAAAAATCTTTACAACGGGCGGTCTTATCGGTTAAAAGCTTGTTGCTGCCACATAGAAAACCCGCTTGGAGTGAATACCCCCCGTATTATACATTTTTCCGTTTCATGTGGTGGAAGAGTAAACGTAGTGTGATAACAGTTGACCTTTAGGTTATTCCAATAAAGGAATTTTATAAAAATACCAAGTCTAGAATATCGTGCCCACCCCAGTATGGTCTAATGCCCACCCCAGGATTTTGGGTTACCGATTCGAAATTCTAGGCTGGACACCTATCCTTCATCGCCAAAAGCAGATTGAAGTGCAATATAGATATTGAATTTCTCGAATTTTCTCTACTA